GCCTCATAGTTCGGGGGGGGGCTTGTCACTCAGCCTCATAGTTCTAGCCGACCTGTGACAATGAGACTGTCACAGGTCGGCTCAGTAGATCGGGAAGTGAGAGAACACATACCGGCGCTCGCTCGCCTCTCTATCCTGTCACGGCTCTCTGCCGTGACAGGGGAGGGGCTGGATTCCCCTCTCCCCGCTCCGATCCTCCAGCGCTGAATGACGGAACAGACGGGGGAGGGGGCGGGTACAGCTGGCTCTGCCTCTAGATAGGAGGAGCCAGCTGTCAGTCACGCAGCTGGGCGGATCCAGACATAATTGTTGGGATGTGCTTCAGCTGCGGCGTCTCAGTATACCGCGAGCTGTAGCTCCCTATATGCTGAGCTTAGGGTGACGGGAGGACGCTAGTTTGTGTCCTCCCGTTACACTTAGGAGAACTACGGGGAAAAGACTTAATACCATAGTTCTCCTATAAGGATCTTTCCACCGATAGCAGATAAAAAGTAATGGCGGAAAGTCAGGTTAGGTGAGAAGATCTCCGCGCGTTCATACGGGCCGTTCGTACACCATCAGGCCAAGTCCAGCTTCAGGGAAACGCGGAGATCGGACTTCTGAAGACTCATCTCCAATTCTCGGCACACGAGCACCAGGGAAGCCTCCGAACATTATGCATTTTGATGCCGTATACATTTGTCTGTATAATTTCCAGACGGTACATCTGAAGGTCCATCAAACTAAACCAACAATGAAAATTCATCAGCGCCGGCACAATTCTGAGGGAACGTTTCATAATAGAGGTCGCCGCGTACTGCGGCAATGCAAAGCTGCTGCTGAGCGCTCAGGTAGCCGGGGACCTCTAGAAACGTCAAGCTGCGTTACGTCACCAGGGCTGAAGATCCGGGTTCATGCTTCAGAGAAGCCAGACAATGTTCAACGGCCAAACTGGAGGACACGTCCGATTCCTGTACGCTCCTCACTGCAGATGTTAGGAGAGGGGTCCCGGGACTGTTTCCTCATCTGGATTCTCCAGCCAATGTGGTGCAATGTACGGTCCCAGCTACACAGATTGGTATTTATAAACGGATGATGCAAATGCTTCCAAAACCCCAACAAGACAATGTCTTACCCTTCTGCTACAGACATCTTCTAACCAATACCTCTGCCGCCACACCATGGTTCCTCGCGAGATGGGAGGAGGATCTCGGGATTCGGTTCAGCCCGGGAGAACGCCAGAAACTATTCTTGCTATCCTATCAATCCTCCGTCAGCAATAAATACCAGGAGTCCGGATACAAACTGGTTACCAGGTGGTACAGGACACCCCAAACTCTCCACTCTATGTTTCCCCGGACACCGGCTGGCGCTGTAAGGCTCCCACGGCGGATATACATCATGTATTCTGGTCATGCCCCGCATTGCAAGCCTTCTGGGACCAAGTCCATGCCACCACCCAGAAGTGTACTGACTTCACGATGCCGCGAGAACCGGCCTTCTTCCTACTGCACCACCATGCCATCCCGCTTAACAAAACGCTCAATTGTGCGCCACCTAATCAATGCTGCCCGGGCCCTCTGGAAGAGCCCTGAACCCCCTACATTG